CCCTATTCCCCTCAGTCCCTCCAACTCCAAAGTGCCAACCGAGCTCCCCTTTATGTGAAGCGCTTCTTCTGAGAAACAGGAGAGAAAGAAAAGAGAATGAACAATCTGAAGCTTCATTCTGAGATTTCTCTCCATCTGGAGTTGCAATCGGAACGAGAAAACGTGCTCTTCTCTGCCTTCGATGTAGAGCGCAACCGTTTGTTCTTTGCTTCTTCTGCCAATTCCCTGTACACCACGCAGCTCTCTTCTTTCCAGGTTAGCTCTTCTTCTCTTTGTTCCAACGACTCCTGGGTTCTCTTTCCCCCCCGTAAGTCCTCAAAATTAAGGTTTCCTGCGTTTTTCTCTCACGAAAAAACTATTGTGCAGAACGGAACATCGCGGAAGGAGACCATATTGTCTGCAGAAGTTCGTCTCCTTGATTTGGAGAATGGGGATGCCATCACTTCCTTTGATTACCTCATGGAGAAAGAGGCGTTGATTATGGGGACTTCCAATGGTCTTCTGTTGCTGCATATGGTGGATGACAATGCTACAGAAGTTGTTGGTCAAGTGGAGGGTGGTGTCATCTGTATCTCGCCCAGCCCAGATGGAGATCTGCTTACTGTTGTCACTGGTTCAGGGCAGCTGCTGGTGATGACCCTCGATTGGGACGTCTTGTATGAAACTACTCTCGAGGATCCTCCAGTGGATGGTGTTGACGTAAGTAAGGATCTTTCTCCCTCTGTGCTTAAGATTTCCTCGTTGTTTCTTCTAGCTTGCCAATGTTATTGAATTGCATAGATGAGATTGTCCTGTTACTAACCTGCTATGATTGTCCTGCATTAGCATGGAGTGAGCAAATTATTTGTACAAGCTCATCATTCTTTTCTTTTTTGGGTTTGATGCGTTAATTTGGAAGTTTGCTGATTGTGCATGACTTCAGGTGGACCAGCTTTATCTTCTTCCTTTGTTTCTAAGAGTTCCATAGCTTGGAGAGGTGATGGGAAGTATTTTGCAACTCTGAGTGAGATTAATGGCACTTCTTCTTCCCTCGGCAGAAAGCTTAAGGTTTGGGAACGGGACTCGGGTTCGTTGCATTCCTCATCAGATGCAAAGTCATTTATGGGAGCAGTTGTGGAATGGATGCCTAGCGGAGCGAAAATTGCTGCGGTATATGACAGGAAAGCTGAGAAAGAATGTCCTGTGATAGTTTTTTACGAAAGGAATGGATTGTATCGTAGCTGTTTTAGTATAAATGGACCTGCGGATGCAACAGTAGAAACTTTGAAGTGGAATGGTGCTTCTGACCTACTTGCTTCTGTTGTTAGATATGATGACGTCGACGCTGTTAAGATTTGGTACTTCAGTAACAATCACTGGTACTTGAAACATGAAGTTCAATTCCCAAGGCAAGATGGTGTGAACTTGATGTGGGATCCTATAAAGCCACTGCAGTTGGTCTCTTGGACTCTTGGCGGCCAGGTTACAGTCTACAATTTCACCTGGGTTACTTCTATTATGGAAAACTCAACAGCTCTGGTGATTGACAATGCAAAGATACTTGTGACTCCCCTTTCTTTGACCCTCATGCCACCTCCTCTACATTTGTTCTGCCTGAAATTTCCAAGTGCTGTGCAAGATGTTGCTTTCCACTGCAAGGGTTCTAAGAGCGACGTTGCTGCCTTTCTTTCTGATGGCAGTTTGTGTGTAGCGGAACTTCCTGAGACTGATTTATGGGAGGAACTTGAGGACAACGAGCTTAGCATTGAATCTTCCGTCTCAGATCTTGCTTTCGGATCTCTTTCACATCTCACATGGTTGAATTCTCATTCACTTCTTGCGGTTTCTCGTCACAGTGTCAGTTCCAATGGCATTCCATGTGAGGTAAAAGTGAGTGGTTCTTATCTGCTGGAAATTGAACTTACGTGTTCTGAGGATCATGTGCCAGGTTTGGTCACAAACTCAGGATGGCATGGAAAGATTTCATATAAAAGCTATTTGGAAGGACTTGTAATTGCAATCACCTCCAATCCTGCCAATGTTTCTTCTGCATTTGTTCAGTTTGATGGTGGGAAAGTGTTGAACTACAAGTCGAAGTCTGGTTTGGCTACAACTGAATGGATTGCAAACCAGGACACCATTAGTTTTCCTTCATCTTGCCCTGGAATGCGTGCTGCTCTTGTCTGTGATGGTGGGGCACTACAGCCCTTGCTCTTTGGTCTTGATGATATTGGAAGGCTGCATGTCGGCCAAGAAACTTTGTGTAACAACTGCACTAGTTTCTCATTCTACTCAAATTTGGCCGACCAACTGACCACTCATTTGGTCCTTTCAACCAAACAGGATTTCCTATTTATCGTAGGTATTGTTGACATACTCAATGGAGAAATAGAATCGAAATATCAGAACTTCTTCCATGTGGGTGCAAGGAAAAGAGATGAAGAAAATCCCAACTTTATAAATATTTGGGAAAGAGGTGCTAAAGTTGTTGGTGTATTACATGGTGATGAATCTGCTGTCATCATCCAAACAACTCGTGGGAACCTTGAATGCATTTATCCAAGAAAGCTGGTCCTATCATCAATTGTCAATGCTTTGATCCAAAGACGTTACAGAGATGCACTCCTCATGGTCAGGAGGCATAGAATTGATTTCAATGTCCTTGTTGACTATTGTGGTTGGCAAACATTTCTGCAATCAGCACCAGAGTTTGTCAGACAAGTTGACAACTTGAGCTACATCACTGAGTTTGTATGTGCAGTGAAAAGTGGGAATATCATGGAGACATTGTACCATAATTATGTTTCTTTGCATGGTGTAAAAGAAACCAACGATGCTCAATCCAAAACTGCTGATACTTACGATAACGACAAAGTTTCCTCTATCCTGTCAGCTATAAGGAACGCTCTCGAGGAACACGTCTCTGAAAGTCCTGCAAGGGAACTTTGCATACTGACCACTCTAGCTCGTGCTGATCCACCAGCCCTTCAAATAGCTTTGGAGAGAATAAAAGTTATACGTGAAATGGAATTATTAGGATCAGATGACTCTAGGAAGGTGACATATCCTTCTGCCGAGGAAGCTTTGAAACATCTCCTGTGGTTATCTGATTCCGAGGCTGTTTTCGATGCAGCTTTAGGTCTTTATGACTTAAACCTGGCGGCTATCGTGGCACTGAACTCTCAGAGAGACCCAAAGGAATTTCTTCCTTATCTACAAGAGCTCGAAAGCATGCCCAGTCTTATAATGCGGTACAGTATTGACCTTAGATTGAAAAGACTCGATAATGCACTCAAGCATATTGTCATGGCTGGTGATGCTTACTATACAGATTGTCTAAATCTCTTGAAGAAAAACCCAAACCTTTTTCCTTTAGGGCTTCAATTGATCACTGATCCTACCAGGAAGATGCAGGTCCTTGAGGCCTGGGCTGACCATCTGAGTGATGAGAAGTCCTTTGAGGATGCTGCAACAACTTACCTCTGCTGTTACAGACTGGAGAAAGCTTTGAAGGCGTATCGTGCCTGTGGTAACTCGACAGGTGTACTCACAGTAGCCGGTCTCCTTAAAATGGGAAGGGATGAGCTATTGCAGCTTGCTCATGATCTTTGTGAGGAGCTCCAAGCAATGGGCAAACCAGGGGAAGCAGCCAAGATTGCCTTGGAGTATTGTGGAGATGTTTATGGTGGGGTAAGTTTATATATCAGTGCAAGAGAGTGGGAGGAGGCCATGAGGGTTTCTTTCATGCACATGGAGGAGAAGTTAATCTCAGAAGTGAAAAATGCATCCCTGGAATGTGCAAGCACTCTTATTGGTGAATATGAGGAAGGCTTAGAGAAAGTGGGGAAATACTTGACTCGGTACCTAGCTGTTCGCCAGAGAAGGTTGCTCCTTGCAGCAAAGCTTCAGTCGGAGGAGCGGTCGGTGAATGATATGGATTATGATACAGCATCAGAAGCTAGTAGTAACTTCACTGGAATGAGTGCCTACACCACTGGGTATGTGTTCTTTTTTCTAACACTTCATCTATGTTATAGTTTTCCTGCGGCCAGTAAAAAAACTATCTTTCCTACGGTTGGTTAAAGTTGCGGTCTCTGTGTCCAACTGACATTCTTGAGGGTTTCCTCTTTCTGGCTTCCTTTTACGAGCAGGACGAGAAGAACTTCTGCTGCATCTGTGAGCTCAAGTACTACTAGCAGGAGAAGGGATGCAAAGCGTCAAAAGAGTAGAGGAAAGATTCGTCCTGGAAGGTTCTTTAACTGTTGCTCCTACCTCTACCTCATTGTTTCTCAGCAATCTGTTGACTTCATTTATGAGACATTTTCTTGGTATTCCAGCGCTGGAGAGGAGATGGCATTGGTGGAGCATTTGAAGGGCATGTCTCTCTCAGCTGGGGCAGCCCGTGAGCTCAAGTCATTGTTGTGTTGCCTCATGATGCTTGGGAGTGAAGAAATCGCAAGGAAGCTACAACGAGTTGCAGAGAACTTTCAGCTAGCTCAGATGGCAGCAGTCAAACTAGCAGAAGATACACTGTCTTGTGATTCTATAAACGAACAGGCGCGTGCTTTGGAGCGTTATGTAGACAAAACAAGGGCCGACCCAGAAACTCCACTGGCAATGTCTTGGCGCTCTAAAGTTTTGATTTCTCCTTAGGAAGGTCAGGTCAGGTCAGTCCTCTAATCTCTCCTCCCAAAAGTACATACTAAGTCGTGGCAAGGGTAAACATTCTAGGATATTCCGCTCTTACCCAGTTGTAATAACTTGTTTGCTAAGTTTTTTGTTATTTCAATTGATCAGATGTTGCCTACTTTCTTTAGCCGTTGTCGAGTTGATTGGATAGACGAAGCACGAAGATCATATGAAAAAAAAAAGCAGTGCGTGCAGGAATCGCAATCATCTCGAAAAAGTTCGTACTAGGTTGTTTCGTATTAGTTATTTTGTACTAAAATTAAATTATGGTTCAATCGTTTTCTGTCTTTAAAATTGTCAATCGATTTGTGATTCGATATTTTGGGTCAGACCGAATTCTCTAAACCATATATTAAAACTAGCTGCATGTAGCCATGCATGGACTTCTTACAGTGTGATGCAAGAAATGAGGTGCCAAGCTGGAGCACTCGCACGTGGAAACAGGTTCGACACCTGTACTCACTTCCTGCCAACATGGCGCCTCTGCTGTCGCCACGTTTCCGCAGATTCACCATTTCTCTCTCTTTTGATTCAGCGCGGGCGCGGCACAACACTCATATTATCAAAAACCCAAAATGGGAATTGTCGGGTTCGAAATCCAATCCTCCGCCACCGTTTCTTCAGTATTCTCTTCATACACAATCATGCTCATCAGGAAAGCCATCCCAAAATCTGCTGCCACCGCCGCCCCTTCACTTCAACTAGCCTCAGCCTTCACAGCCGGCAGAATGCTGCCGCTCTGCTGCGAGAAGAAGCCGAATCTCTTTTGTTCCTTTGTAGCCCGCTCGATGGTCAACGGGCAGTATCCTACTCCACCGGAGGTTCCGGGCCCAAGCACTCCGTCGGAGATCCCTACAAAGAGGACCGATTACCCGACTCCTCTGATTCAGCCGGAAGTGCCGGGACTTCCAACTGGCCCAGAAATAGAGATAGATCCGGGTAGGGAACTGCCGATGCAGCCACCGGGGATCCCCGAGGTGCCTAACCCTTTTCCTCGGAGGGGACCTGAGATTCCGGTCCCTCCCATGCCTTCCCCGCCGCCGGATGTTCCCTTTCCGAGGCCGCCTGATAAGCCGCCGTCGCCGCCACGAGTGCCTCCCGATCCGGATATTTTGCCACCGAGCATGCCTCCGGAAATTCCGCCCTCGGCTCCCGATCCGGATATTTTACCACCAACTACTCCTCCGGATATTAAGCCGCCGCCTGGACCTTCTGTTTTGTTTTGATTTCTTAGTTAGTATGAAGGAATCATCGTTGTGAGAAGGCAGATTAATCCTCTGGAGTTGGGTTTTATATGCACTTTTTATTCTATCTTTATGAAATGTACCACAGGCATGTATAGTTTAATTACCAGCTAATATTGCTGGTTGATGCTACTAGCTACCTTACCTAGCATGAAGTGTTCTATTCTTCATGAAAAAAAAGCATGCAAGTGTTTTACGATTTTCGAGCCACCGGTCTCCAAGTGAAGTCAGGCCAAACCATTTAGCTTTTTTGTCAATATGCACAACAAAATCTGGAGAGATCGATAATTGGTAAGAACCGAGTTTCTTGGGTTTCGAAAGTGGAAGAGCTTTTGTAAGGATGAGTGGCCTTCAAGATGAAAACTGTCGTAGTTGTAGGTCTAATAGTTAGAGATGTTACAGGGAAGTGATATAAGAACTTCTTTGCATCCCAGTTGAACAATGATTAAGCAAATTTCAATGAGAACTTTGAAGGGTGTGTATGTAGCACTTAAAAGTCTTTGAAAACACTAGCAATATAAGGATGATACTTTTGGAGAACCACTTCACTTTAATATGTAGAAAACAAAAATCATGCGGATCCAAATCCAAAGCTTATCTGGGAGAAAAAAAGTTTAGGATGTCGGTGTTACACATATCCTATTATCCTTACCTTCTCTTCTTCTGGTGTAGCCCACGACACCCTTCACAAAATCGAATGCAAAACGTGCCCCAAGCCCACTGGTAGGCAATAACAGCCCATTCTAACATATAACCAAAATAGAGCCCATCAGAAAACATAATCACCCGAAGCTAGATAACCGACAATGATGGAATGGAAACGCTTTCACGCAAATCTCTCCCGCACTGACAGGGTCAGGTATGCAGCCACAGCCATCAATGCTTAAGAAAATATCTAAAACATAATGAGCGGCAGAAAGCAAGCAACGTCATCTCGCCACTTTGCTCCACCACAAGAAAACTGTAGTTTATACACAATGTTTTGTAATTTCTAGCAACACAAGCTGCAGAAATGCAATGTAACAGTGTAAGACCAGAAAAACAGAATGGTAGAAGAACAGTTTGAACACAAATAGTGGCTGAGCTTCAGTGCATCAGATCCACTTTTTCCATTTCGGTTTTTGATCTGTTCTCACGCACATTACACCAAAAGGAAGAGGCATCAACTTTTTAAAGGCTCAACAACAAACCCTAGGTTGATATGCAACTACTAAAACAAACAAACAAAAGCTTAAAGACAAAAACAAGTACAAGGGTCACTTTCAATGTTCCCTAGAAACAAAACAAGAAGAGGCATTAGCAAACATGCCCTTCACAGTGGTCCCTCAACATCCTTAGCTTCAATTCAAAGTTGCAGATAGTCCAAAACATCTTCCAACTGGTTTCATCTTCATCTTCATCTCTTCCATACAAGCTTTCTCTGTTTTCTCTGTTTCTCCAGCAACACTCTTCATTTCTTGTGCTCCAAGGCACATATAGGTTGAGAGTGATCCACCCAGTGACATATTGCAACACTCCTCCTTGCCAATGCCACTGACCATTCCAATCATGGTTTTCAAATCTTAAAACCTTGGTTTGCTCAGTGCCTTGGTAAAGATGTCAGCAGACTGGTCTTGTGTAGAGCAGTGTTTCATAGAGATCAATCCTTCTGCTTCAGCCTCTCTAAGCACATGATACTTGATTTTAATGTGCTTAGTTCTTCCATAGAACACTGGATTTCTAGTCATGGCCACAGCAGACTGATTATCACACCAAATGACAGTCGGTTTAGTTTGCTCAAAACCTAAATCTGCCATGATTTTCCTCAACCAAACAGCATGGTTGACAGCTTCTGAACCAGCAATGTACTCAGCTTCAGCAGTTGACTGAGCTAAAATGCTTTGTTTCTTTGAACTCCAGAAAAAGATTGCAGATCCTAGTGAGAAGGCAAAGCCAGAGGTGCTTTTCATGTCTTCAGAAGATCCTGCCCAATCACTATCACAGAAACCTTCCAAACACACTTCCTTACATCCTTCAAACTTCAAACCAAGATCAGTGGTACCTTTGATATACCTTAGCAGTCTTTTAGTTGTGTTATAGTGGATTGAGTTGGAGATTGCATAAACCTTGCTAACAAACCAGAGGCAAACATTAAGTCTGGTCTGGTTGCTGAAAGATATAGCAGGCTTCCAATCAAACTCCTGTAGACCTTAGGTTCAAATGAACCTGATCCATCTTCTTTTGTCAATTGAATTCTCACTGGAAGTGGTGTAGCAGCAGCCTTGGCATTCTCTATTCCAAACCTTTTTAAAATTTCATTTGCATACTTCTTCTGGCATATGAAAATGCCTTTCTCAGTCTGCTCAATTTGAATACCAAGAAAGTAAGTCATCAAACCCAGATCAGTCATCTCAAATTCATTCATCATGCTGGTTTTGAAGCCTTCTATCTGCTTCACATTGCTTCCTGTGATCAGAAGATCATCTACATATAGAGAAATCATCACAGTTCCAACCTCATCAGTTCTCACATAGAGGGTTGGTTCACTTGGACTCTTAGCAAACCCCAATCTTACAAGATAATCATCAATTCTGGAATACCAGGCTCTTGGAGCTTGTTTTAGTCCATAGAGAGCTTTCTTCAGTAGGTAGACATGATCTTCTTTCCATGGAATCTCAAAGCCTTCAGGCTGCTCAACATATATCTCCTCCTGTAAATAACCATTCAGAAAAGCAGATTTCACATCTAGCTGATGCACTTTCCAGTTCTTCTGAGCAGCAATAGCTAGTAGGAGTCTTATAGTATCTAGCCTTGCCACTGGTGCAAAAGTTTCACCATAGTCAATACCAGACTGCTGAGCATACCCTTTAACCATAACTCTTGCTTTGAACTTGTTGAATGAACCATCTGAGTTTAGTTTGATCCTGTAAACCCATTTAGTTCCTATCACTTTTCTTCCAACAGGCCTTTTAACTAGAATCCAGGTTTCATTTTTGTCAATCATTCTGCATTCTTCTTTCATGGCTGAGTTCCAGCCTTCATGCTTCAGAGCTTCCTGAACAGACTCAGGTTCTTCAATGGCCATGTTGCATCTTTCATACACATTGGCCAATGTTCTCATGCCTCTTACAGGCGTGTGATCATAGTTATCATGATCATTCTGATCATCTTCTTCAGACTCCAAATCTTCAGGTTGATCTTGCTCAAGAACATGGTCTTCATCAGCCTGAGGTTCTGGCTCATCATCTACATCTTGGTGATCTTGAAATTGAACTGTCAACAGATCATAGATGTCTTCAGATTCATTTTGAGGAGATGACCAATCATGAGTGGCCTTCTCATCAAAAATGACATCCCTGCTCAGTTGGAACTTCTCAGTTGTTGGATTGAAGATCCTGTAGGCCTTAGACTCAGTACTGTAGCCCACTAGAATTCCCATTTCAGACCTGTGATCAAGTTTGTCCCTTTTTGGAGCTGGAACATGAGAATATCACACAGATCCAAAGGTCCTGAGATGAAATAGACTTGATTTGAATCCATTCCAAGCCTCATAGGGAGTCATCTCTTTAACTGACCTTGTTGTTAACCTATTGAGCAGGTAGACTGAAGTGTTCACAGCTTCAGCCCAGAACTTCTTAGGAACATTCTTCTCAAACAACAGACATCTAGCCATTTCCATAATTTTCCTGTTCTTTCTTTCACTTACTCCATTTTGCTGTGGAGTATACCTGACTGTGAGCTGATGAAGTACACCCTCTAAAGCCAGCAGCTTCTCAAAGGCTAGAGAGGTGTATTCTTTCCCATTGTCAGATCTCAAAGTTTTAATCCTTTCATTGCTTTGATTTTCAACCATAGCTTTAAAATTATGGAATTTGGGAAGAGCTTCAGACTTGTTCTTTAGGAAATAGACCCAGCAGTATCTTGTCAAATCATCAATGAATAACAATAAATATCTACTTCCACCCCAAGATTCCATCTTGAAAGGTCCACATATATCAGTGTGAATCAATCCAAGCTTCACAGGAGCTCTCCAAGTGTGTTTCTTAGGAAAGGGCAACCTGTGTTGTTTTCCAAGCTGGCAGATTTCACACACACCTTCATTCAACTCAAGAGCAGGTAAATCCTTTACCAAACTCTCTTGAGTCATTTTAATCATAGTATGTTGACTGAAATGACCTATTCTACTGTGCCACAAAGCAGATTGATCATTTCTAGTCACTACAGCCATGTTTGGCAGTTTTCATTTTCAGGGCAAAACTCCTTTGAATCATAGAGAGATCAAACAGTTTATCTCCCTTTGAATCATACACAACACATGACTTGTTTTGCATTTCCAAAGAGTAACCCTTTTCAAGCATTTGTCCTGCACTAAGCAAGTTCTTAGCTAGAGCAGGAACAAATAAAACTTCAGGGATTACCTTAAGTCCAAAGGAAGTTTGCACTGAAACTGATCCTTTACCTTCAACAGATACTAGATCACCAATTCCAATCTTTACTTTAGACTTGTAGGACTTGTCCAGATCAAGAAAATACTCCTCATTGTTGGTCATATGATTTGTACAACCAGCATCCAGAAGCCAGTCCTCACTGCTGCTTGTAGCTGTGAAACAGGTAACCATAAACATCCCTTCTTGCTTGTTCTGTTCATTGGCTTCTGCAACAGCCACTTGTTCCCTGATACTCTTGTTTTTGCAGACCTTTTCAACGTGCCCTAGTCTTTTACATGACCTGCACTGCACATTAGGTCTATACCAGCAGTAATTCTCAGTATGATTAGTTTTCTTACAGATGGGACAAGGAGGATAGACCTTCTTCTCAGTTGGTTTTTCAGTCTGCTCCTCCTTACCCTTTTTCTTCCTTCCAGGAGTTTTCTTAACTCCAGAACTTTGCCCTTTTGCCTTTTGTTGTCTTACAACCAAAGCTTCTTCTGATTTGTCATCATTTCTGATGGAACTCCTCAACTCAGTTGCTTGCAAAGAGTTGAGCAGCTGAGTTATGCTCAGTGTAGACAGATCTTGAGTTTCTTCCAGAGTTGAGATCTTAGCCTCAAAATTTTTCAGGCACAGTGACTAAGATCTTCTCAACAACCCTAGAATCATCAAAAGTCTCACCAAGCAGCCTTAGTTGATTCACATTTTTCATGATTCTATCCAGATAGTCCTTGATACTTTCACTTTCTTTCATTCTCAGACTTTCAAACTCTCTTCTCAGAT